CAGTTCTAGGCGCCGCTGATGCCTGTATATTAAAATTCATTTGTGCTGAAACCTGCTAAAGTTATTCTTTGCTTATTCTTTTAGTTTTGAAATATGTTTAAAAATGTTTATTAAAGATCTGGTATTTTTTTCTCCATCCTTCCACTTAAATTTAGAATAGTTGCTTTCTAACTTCTTACGGCTGACTGCCAAAGACCACTGTTTATCTTCACACTTGATGCGTGAATGCAAGCCTTTATTTTTTATGCATTTTTGCATCCACGCAATGGAAGGATGTGTTGTGTGTGTTACGTGTGCGTTTGCATGTGCCTTCACCTGAAAGCTCAAAATCGAGCAACTACAGTTGAATTTAGCCAAGCAACTAATCAAAAATGTTGGCTGGCCGGACTGGTTTGACTTCTCGGATACATCAAGTTTGGATGCATATCACAAGCATTACAATCTAATACAGAAAATGGACGACTGGTGGGAAATACGAGAAGCTCTTCAATATGCGTACCAACAAACTGAAAATGTTGGAATTCTGGAAAAAGAGCCGAACAGGTAAGTAAGTCAGTAAACTGTCAAAATGTATCGGAAATGATTAGCAAAAGCTCGAGTAAACAAATAAGGCAACAGGAAAGACGAAAAAGAAGACGACTGGCACCGCTTTTAGTTAAAATCTAATTTTTGCTTGGAGCAATCTTTTACCCTAAATTTTTGCTTGGAGCAATCTTTTACCCTAAATTTTTGCTTGGAGCAATCTTTTAAGGTTTTCAAATAAATATTTTAATGCAAATCAAAGTGTGTTTATATTGCTTATGTACTTGAATGTAAAATTCAACTTCAGTTTCGCTAAAATAAGGAAACCGAAAACTTCTTCGAAAGGGTCTGACGGTATACTCAAACAATAGTATTGAAAGCTAATTCGAAAATATAAATTTCGAATTAAATATTTCAAAGTAACTATCAGTCCTCTCCATTTCTTGATATACATGCTTCTTTTTGATCTTGAGAATTTGATTATTCAAGAGATATTTGAATAGTTTGATTATAGTTTGGTCCTCAAGTTGGACTTTTTGGCGTCAGCTTTTAAGCATCCATTTTCTGAGCGGTAAGTTTAGACCAAATTTAAGCTGGATATGCATCTTAGACAATCGGTCACAAAAAGTATGGCCTTCGAAATACCATTTGATTTATCGCATTAATGCTTCGAAATATATTGTCTGGTACTGGATTTTTATTGGATGTTGAACATTATGTCGATCCAAAAGTGATTAGAGGCATTGCAGGAAAAATTTCCTCATGTCACCAGCAATTTTCAATGCCTGGTATCAACCAAATTTGAATTCAATAACATTCCCATATGCTGCATTTAATCCGCCATCATACGGGTAAAATTTTTACAAATTCTTGACAATTAATTGAGCGTTACAAATTCTTAACAATTAAATGGCAGTTAAATGAGCGTTTTTCTAAGTAACAGTAAGCAGAATCATTAAAAAGAAGGTAAAGTTGAAAGCAAGAAGAATAGAGGAAAGAGTTAATCGTATAAGAAATTCATAACCACATATAATTTACTAAAAAGGTAAAAGAAAACTGCAGAAAAATGTTTCGATTCGTTGAATCGCACAAATCCCCATTGAAATTTAGGAAAATTGTTTAGAGAGCTATGAATTATGACTGCTGAAATTTTGTTGCAATATTCTGAAAAACGTTTTTCACAGGTATGGCTATCCAAAAGCATACAATTATGCTGGTCAAGGTTCCACGGCCGGTCATGAGCTAACGCATGGTTTCGATGATGAAGGTAACATTTACGAAATAAACAAAAATAAAATTCAAAGTGAGTGAATAAGGGAATTTATCAAAAGTACTACTGATTGAATATATCGCTTAGCAGCTGTTTTTTTACACATCATCTTTTTTTGCACGACGAAAGCAGGGATCATTAGCACCGAACCAATTACAGCAGACGCGCTTTTGTCGGGAGAACCTCTGCTGCATAGGAGGAAAAGAACAACTAGCACGGCTTTTTGCGTCTGGAACAGAAACAGTTGTTGCCCGTAAATTAGGATTAACGTTGGCTGAAGGCGGAGCAGGTAAAAAAACAACAGTCCGCAAGCCGGCATGTTTAAAACCGATGGTACTGGGGCACAACCAAAGTGACTGCAGTCAGTATGAATGGCTTTTTTTACCAAAGACTACGTGAATTAAAATTAAAAACAAGCTTGCGATGCACTAGGCTTGCCTGTGCGAGCATACGTTTCTGCGCTACACTTGAAGTAGTTAGGTCGTTAACAATAGTTGCTGCTTCCATTCAGTCTGAGCATTAATCACGGCGAATTTTGCATGAAGGAAAATGAAAATTACAAAGAATGAGCTGTGTCGCATGCAAACACGTAATGTTTGTGGTAACTCCGCAACCAAAGCAACTAGGATGCTCATGTTTTGCACAGTTTGTTTGTGACAATCATGAAAATAAAATAGAGGTCACATTTCTGAGTCTAATGTGTATATCTATTTGTTTAGTAACAAATTCCTTACAACTGCTTATATTAGCAACAAGCAAAGAACGCATTTTCGCATCGGCATTCTGTGCTTGATGACTAGGCTTTTTCTAGAAAAAGGAGCAAGTTCGCTTCAGTCAAATCACTACGTTAGTGCACGTATTAGTACATTTTTGCAAAGTTTCATGGGATTTGTCTTGCAGAGAAGACTAAACTGCTTGCTACGCTCCTTAAGTATTGGAGAACCCCGTCTTTTAACATTACAGCAGGAAAAATCAATGATTTGGTTAGTTTGTGACGGGCGCTGAGATACTTAGGAATGTTGTGTATAAGTGCCGGTCATGTAGATTTGTGGAATACGTGCATGATCGATAGCCTCGTACAAAATTCTTTTAATAGCCAGAACCTGGATTATTTCCTCTAAGAATCATAATCTGAACTAATTATTCTAGAAGACGCAGTATGCTCCTAAAATCTGAAGCAAAACAATGATTAAATGAATCTGTTTCATTTCACTGCAGGTGTGCAATTTAATGGCATTGGGAAGCTGAACCCATGCTATTGGGACCGGTGTGGCTGGCTGGACAGTAAATCTGCCAGTGGCTTCGTCGAAATGGCTCAGTGCGTTGTGTCACAATATTCAGAGCAGTGCTGCCCTCTTAAATCCGGAAATGTGCGCTGTGCGAGCGGGGAACGTACCCAGGGCGAAAATATTGCCGACATTGGAGGTCCGTCGAACTTCAATACCTGTTTTTGTTTTGTATCGACGTCTGCAAGTATCTGACTGGAGCTTACGGAGCTTTGCAAATTAAATGGTCTGTAGCGGTAGAGCAGCCAAACTTTTCTGAAATGGCTGCAAATATCGTCATTGACACCAATGGCAAAAAATTTTTCTCTACAGGAAGATACAGCTTAATAGTTTTAAGCAGTGAGAAAATACAGTGGTCGAATGAGGCGGAAAGGGACGGAGAGTGAAGAGAAGGGAGGGGAGAGAGGGGAGAGAGAGTAAAACTGTTCATTCAGGCAGGAAGAGTGTGGAAATTCGGCCAAAGAAGATTGGAAACATAGTTTTCTATTTGGTTAAGGAATATGCAAAATTAGTCCGAAAAGTGCGTTACAATCAGCCGAGGAGCTCAAAATCTGCGTTTTTATGCGTTTTGTGCTCTATAACAGCACTATAACCCAAACTGGAACGCACTAGGCTCACCGGAGCAATCATGCATTTTTGCACTAAACTTGCAGATTGCTATTAGCAAGAATGATCCCTACGCTGTAGCCTAACACTTAGGTCATATTGGCGTGCTTTGATCCTTTCCGGCATGCGGTAGGAAGGGCGTCAGTTGGGATGAAGGTGGTGCAGTATGGAGCCGCATGGACATGCAGGTGCATGATTACCGGTTTTTAGCATGAAGTCCGGTCGTTTTTTCGCTAAATTTTCGCTTTGTGAAAAAATGAAAAATGCGAATTTTTTGAAAAAATGCAAATTTCCAGTTCATTAACCCA